TTCCATGAGCAAGTACTCGGAATTCAGATTCTGCACTGCTACGAGATACACAGACTATTTTTAATGCGCCAAGTTACTAGATTGCCCCAGACATAGGTACAGTATCTGATGTAGATCTCTGTCAGTTACTGATCCAGCCCAATCAGCATCAATGAACATTTCAATATCCTTTTTTTCTATTTTCTGAAAGAACAATCCTTGACTGAAGTCATCTTTAAGTACCTCATAATTCGATATACAGCCGTCATGTGTTTCCCAGTTGGTTGATTCATGAATTGACTCACTGTACTAATTGCAAAACTGATATCAGGTCTGGTGTGTGCTAAATAGATGAGTTTGCCCACCAATCTTTGGTACCTTTCTTTATCAACCTTTTTATCACTGATGTCGAATCCAAGTTTTACGGTCGGATCCATAGATGTGTCAGCAGGTTTACTTCCGAGCATTCCGATCTCTTTCAGGAAATCAAGAACATATTTTCGTTGTGATACTAAAATTTCCCTTTTTGACGGGGCTACTTCCATACCAAAAAAGTATTTCATCATTCCAAAATCTTTAATTTCAAACTCTTTAACAAGAAATTTTTTAAGTCTTTGAATTTCCTCAATGTGATCTCCTGTCAAAATAATGTCATCTACATAGACAATCAAGATAGTTTTTTTACCTGAGATGCAGTGTTTAACAAAAAGTGTATGATCTGATTGGTATTGCCCATACCCTTCTTGTTTTACTGCTTTTGTGAACCTGTCAAACCAATCTCTTGGAGATTGCTTCAGACCATATAGTGACTTTTTGAGCCTGTACGCTTTTTGAGGATCATCAGTTAGTTCAAATCCTAGTGGGATATCCATGTATACTTCTTATTCTAGGTCACCATTCAAAAACGCATTCTTTACATCTACCTGACAAAGTGGTCAATCAAGGTTAGAAGCAAGTGACAGTAATACCCGAATTGTATTATACTTGACTACTGGAGCAAATGTTTCTTCATAGTCTATCCTATAAAACTGAGTAAAATCTTTTGCTACTAGGCGAGCCTTGTATCGATTTATACTCCCATCAGGATTGTATTTTGTTGTAAAGACCCACTTGCATCCAACCTGACGCTTTCCTGTGGGCAGATCAGTTAACCCCCATGTCCCATTTTTCTCAAGTGCTCTAATCTCTTCTTGGATGACAGCTTTCCATTCCAGTATTTCCAGAGCTTCATGATTAGACTTTGGTTCTGGTGAATTATTGTCTAGCCTGCACACAAAGACATGATGTTCTGAAAACAACTTACTAAATGAGATATATTCCTGTATTGGATGTTTGGTACATGTTCGAGTCCCTTTTCTTAAAGTTATAGGCAATTCATTATCAATATCAGTAACAGGAATAGCTGTCTCATTACCTATAAATTTCTAAGTCCCTGGAGCCAGAACAGATTCATGGCAAAGCTTGTCTGATTCATGTGTCTTCCCTCCTCGATTTTTGTTCCTTCTAGTGTAGACACGTAACTCATTATTGACAGGAAATGTGTTTTCTGTTCCTAACACTGGGTCAGGTTCTTTCTGTGTGGTTTTTGGTAAAGTATTGATGATAGGTTCAGGTTCTAGGGGGGATGAATAGAAAGGAGGTGAATAGAGAGGAGGTATGCTAACATCCCACAACTGATATTCCTGAGTAAAGTTCTCCCCATGAATATCAGTTGTAGAATAAGAGGGTTGCTAGACACTTGTATCCTTTCTAATGGGCAGAGTAACCAACAAAGATGCATTTTACAGCCCGTGGATCAAGTTTCCCTCGAAGATGTGGGTGAATATGAACATATGCAGAACACCCAAAAACTTTGAGTGATAGGCTATTTAGGATATTGTAACACCAAAAATATATTTTTTTTATATTATTTTATTATTATTTTTTTTTTATATTTGAATTTTTTAGATTTTATTTTAATTTAATTTAATTTAATGAAAATAAAAATAATAATAATGATAAAATTGGGTAAAAATATTATTTGGATTTAATTGAAATTGATTTTGGGAAAAAGATGTGAAAATTTAGATTCTGATGGTGTATCTGAAAAAAAAAATCAGAAACCGGGGGTCAAAACGCAATTTAGAAAAATTGTGCCACGTCAGCAGCCACGTCAGCAGCCCGGTCAGCAGCCCCGGCCAACCAGGACACGCCGCGTGGCAAGGAAACGCTGACACGGGACGGGCCACGTGGCCGATCCGTGTGCGCGCGATCGGACGGCCCAGATCCGTTCCCGCTCGCACGGACGGCCTAGATCAAACGTGCGCACGAAGGGCTCAGATTCATGCATACGGACGGCGCAGATCGCATCGCGATGGACAGTCCAGATTTAATTTTGATGGACGGTTGATATTAAAATGCAAAGGGTATAAATAACCCCACCCACACCTGACCACAAAACCCTAGCCGCCAGTGCCTCGCCGGAGAAGAAGAACTAGACGCCGGAGGAGCCGGCCGCCGCCGCACCAGAGAAGTTTCCGACCGCCAATCGAGGTAAATTTTCTCCCCCTAGCTCGTTTTTCGATACTGAATCCACCTATGGCCAAACCGGAGCCAAACCACCGGTCAAACAGCCAGAAAACCCCGCAGAAGTCCAGCGCCGCCGCCACGACTCCCCTCTGTTTTGCCTCCGATGAGGCCCTCC